CTCTCAACTATAAAATATACAGTAGATATAGAGTCGATGTTTATAATGTATATTAAATTATATCGAGTGTTTGAGAAGACAAGAAACAAAAATTAATATTTTTTAGTTCAATATATCTATGGATTTTTCATATACACCATACAGTAAAATGTAGTCGATATTACAACGTGGTATATGCGCTGAACAATATATCTATCGGTGAATATAATCTAATTATTATATCATTAAGAATAGCGTTAAAAACTATTTATCTCCAATATATGCTTGAATTTGCATGTGTAGTGGAAAAAACTATTATTATGGTAGAAATATTATTGTACCTGTCCATTTCTACTGAGTTGACTCTGTACTACCTGTGCTATAAATGCATTATATATCGCAAAATGAATTTCTCTCCCCCTCTCCCGTAGATATCTATCAGACATATGGCATACTATTTAAAAATGTAATGTTTTTGTGTTATTTTCTTTTGATATATATTTTTTGAGTTAACAAAAGGATGAATAGTTGTCAACACATAGAATAATATGAAATAATTTTTATTTGTTATTTATTATTAATTTGTGTTTTTCTCTATATTATTCATTTAAAATAAATTTATTATAAATTACAATAAATAGTCATTAAAAATACTGTGCAGTATATTATTCTTAATACAATTTTTAAAGTATTATTTTAATCAATACAATACAAAAGTTTTCAGAAAAACTTCTGACATTTTAAAAAATTACTATTTCTTTGGGAATTTTACAGCGAATTATTAAATTTCATTGTAAGACTATTTTTGTTATAATTTATTATAATAAATGTTATAATGACAAGATTTATTTTAAATAATACGATAAAGTATAATGTAATTAATGTGACAAACAATAATGAAAATTCTGTTTCAATTTAAATTGAATCTATTTATTATTAAAATAGTTTCTATATTTTTCAATAAATGTTTTAGCATAATATCTATTTTAAAAATAAATGTAATTTTAATTAAACAAACTTCTTTAAATATCATGTAAATTCAAATTTATTTTAATAGAATTATATTGAATTTGTTAAAGCGATTAAATACAATGAAGATAGCTATAAAATAAATTTTGCATACATTGTAATATAATAAAAATCTATAATTAAATATTTATATTTTACAAATACAAGAGTAGTTTTTAATATTAAAATTTTAAAATTATTTTTAACACAAGATTAATGTTTGAAAAATTATTTCTATTCCTAATAATAGCATTCATGTAATAAATTATTCTGTGATGTATTTTACAACATGAAAACACTTATCATTTCTCGTCCTATTGTGATATGTGTCTGAAGTTATCACATTTGCAGGTAAATTAAAACTCAATATAAAGTATACCATATTATACGATATTATGTGCATTATATGCAAAATATAGATCATCATGTATTTTGTGATCAAAATTGCACCCAAATATCTCATTGTAGTGAATATGTAAACATTATTTCGCACACGAACTCAATATTCTTGCCATTAAATAAAGTTGTTTTTATGTCAATTATTTTGTACAATAATATCTATAGTATTGTCCATATGTTGCCATTGGATACTGGATTCAAATCTTATATGTTTTATATATAGCTTTATTCATAATATTTATTGTAAAATCCTTACGATCGTTAATGTTTTATTAAAATATTATAACATAATACAGTAAAAAAATATGTCATTATTTTTATTCATTAAATCATTTAAATATAAATCTTATCCTAAGTCAATTTGTTATTACGAAATTAATTCAGTTAGATTTGAATGTTTGAGTTTGCTCTATGTTAAATATATTTATTACAATTTTTCAATTTATCATATTAAAAGATATTCATGTAGTACAGTAAATGTATTGGATTCTAGCAATTTTATAATGTACGTGAATTTTGACCGTAAAAAATATTATTGATTATTTGTATTGATTTATTAAAAAATTATATTTGGTTTTCCTTATAAGATATACAAGAGGTGTGACTGACTTGTGAGCGCCGATGAGAGACTGTTAGTTGATATACAAATAAAAAATGTGTTATCATTTTAATAGTAACTTATTTACTGATCATGATATTTTTAAGGTAATGGTAAAAGCATTTTGGTTGTGTTAGATGGGAAAATACTACACTATCTAATTAAATTGTTTTTGTTAATTAATGTGTGAATAACTAGAATTATTACAATGTTTAATAAATATCATGATAATATCTAAACTTTAGATTCTAAAGGCTATTATTCTTTCAAATAATCAAGGTCAGTTTCATTGTCTTTAAATTACAATTGTGTTTATTATTATTTTATAATAATTGATAAAATACTAATTAATATTACAGTTACCGAAAAATTCGAGAATTAAAATGAAATCAAGAATTAATTACAACTAATAAAAGTATTTTAAGTAAATAAATCACATTTATCAAAATAAAACTAATAATCTATCTATATACAGTACAGTATTTATATACTGTGAAAGTTAAATATGGACTTAAAATCTAGGAAATAATCCAATTGATTACATTCTCCTTAAACTGTCGGGTCGTATGGTTTGGACACAAATTGGGAAACACGTTGTGCTCATAGCCCAGTGAGGAACCCGTCCCAAACACGTCCAGCACTACAATACCACAAATAGTTTGTATTACTAATTATAAACAACTATTTGAATTGTTTTTCAAGTATTAAACAGTCTAAGCAAATAAATTAATCAAACATTCAACAAATAATTACCTGTTCTGTTAAATGAGCTCATTTTATGACCAGTTATTTTGTCAATAAATTTTAGATACGAGGGTCGCATAGCCCGGGGCTCCATAATGGTTACGTAGGCCAACTGTGCGGTTGACATGGCGTATAAAAGCATTATGGTCTGGTCCTTATACCCTAACCATCCCTTCCGTATGGCCATTAAGTATAGCATTTCAATTGATTTCCATAATAAATATAAGGCAATCGTTGTATTCATCGTATCGTTTGATAGATACATGGTTGGACCTAAATGTACACGTGATAAATATTGTTTACTGCCATGTGTCCTGACAATTAATTATTTTTTGCAATTAAAAAACTATAATTTTCAGTCGACCTTCTATTGTGAAAAACAATACAATTATTTATTTACTATAATTAGTAATTAATTTATTTTTAATGTAAAATCCTATTTACAAATCACTTATAGAAACAAACAAACGCATGGCATGATTGACATGACATACCGGCGCAGAGGGCGGCCACCAATGAATGCCAGTCTTGGGATGTGTTTGTGAATCTCCTGAGCAGACAATTCACTGATTTAAATACAGCCGAAAACGAGCCCAAAAATAGACCGAAATATACATTATTACTGTCCGTTAGACCACTTATTATGACAGTCTTTGGCGATGTAATCAATCTCTTTGGTCTCATAAGCGTATTCATCAACACCTGTGCCGTCCAACCGATGGCAAAGTTGACCATAAAATAACTTAACGAGTTTGAAACACAAGATCTTTGCCGGTGGTTACACTTTGGGTGTCTTTCAAAGTAATTGCCAATTAATGAGACAATAAATCCACACTTTTGCCTCATTGTATTTAATATTAATTTGCTTTGTACTGCATTTGAATTGTTGTCAGTATTATCACGTTTATTATCGCTCGTATCAAACGTATGATCACTAATCACACAATTATCACATTTATTTGACATCTCAATAGCACTTTCATTGTTAACTTTTACAGACTTTTCGCGACCTAACATGACTTTGAGACCAACACAGACCGGATCTCTACCATAACCATACCTGCGGACCATAAACAGTAGCGCAGAGATTGAAACGCTGGAGATATTGAAATAATTATGAAATAATTGCAAAACATAACGATAATTATTATTAATAAACGCTATAATAATTGTTAAAATTACGTGAATATAAGGACTTCTCCTCTGGCAATAGGTTTCACAATATGTCTATTAATAAGCATTCGGTAAACGGTTTCGGAGGCAATGTTAGCGCAATAGACGGCTAACGCACCCCTTCTCGACCGCTTCTCTATCAGTATAGCCAATAGACTGCTTATAAAAACCGGTAAATACGAGCATAAGGTGTAGTAAAATTTACCTGCAAAAAGATAACAAGACGGTAAATTTATAGCGTTTAATTAATTGATACATTATACCGGTAACTTTTCTAATATTGCAAAACATGGACATCATTAACAACGCGGTAAAACCGAGAAAACTAGACGACCGTAATGTGTTTGTTATGATGGATATCACGATTTTTGTGTTTAATTTTCGTTTCATAATTGCATTAAATATATATAAAGGTGTGTATAGTTTAAGCGATTCTTTAAACACAGTAAAAGTCATCTGAAAATTGAGACCAAAAATAACACAGAATTATGGGTAAAATCACGACTTTTTGAAAAATCAAAATACTGTCACAAAATATAATAATCACAGACATCGAGGGCCGCCTCATCGCAGTTGGGATTCCATGTATGTCCTGTTATGGATTTTATATTGAAATTTGTTGATATATTTTTAATTAATTGTGAATAAAGTTTCAGTTCATACCGATCTCATAGCAATTGTAAGGCAGAGCCCACTCAGGCATCAATACTTTGCTCCAAACGGATGGCATTATCCCAATAGATAAGGCTTTACTGAATTTACAAATGATTTGCAAATTGTTTTCAAAAATTGGTTGAAAAAACTTTGTTTCGTTGAATTCAAAACAGTTGTAATGATTTTTGAGAAGTCGTGTCGAAAAGGTTTACTTAATACACAACATAACCACATGTTTAGGTAAACACTACATAAAATTTACACAACAAATATAATGTGCAGTTTTCCTCCTTATTTGAATGGTATGGATGGGCACAAGTGGTTCACAAATAATAAACTGCATTTCAAATACACTAGTTCAGTTTGGCAAGTTTTCAATCTATGTGCATAATAAGTAAAATGATTATATAATTTAAAATGATAAGTTAATTATTCAGAAATATATAAATGTTTAATTTATACATTAATATCTAGAATATAAAGTTTAAAAAGTTTTTGAAAGTAAAAATCTTTTCAATATTTTTTTCAAAATAACATTTATTTGATAAATTACAGTGAAATTAGTTGATGGAAGAGTTGTTTGGGTGATTACGATAAACACAATGACTGTCTAAATGGTAGCCCTTATTGATATTTGACCTCAATATTAGGTAATCAGTTATAAATTGACATTTATATTGCCTGAAGACTTGTAGTAGATTTCTAATACAATATCAAAACAAAATAATAAAGTGCTAGGTCGCAATTTGTATTTTAATTTATGTCATAATACGGCTGATTTAGAATATCTAGTATTTTGTATTATTATTGTTATTAATCAAACAATTAGTGAAATCCCTTTCCCTCGCAATACCGGACACCCAAAGGATAATCACTTTTGATTTTTAGTTTGTATTTTGTTTATTGTAATAACTTTTGTAAATGCCTTTATAACTAGTTTTTCATAATTAAACTTTAAATAATTTAGTCAATTAGTACTGGTAATAATAGTTAAGTAGTTATTGAATTTGCAATTTTTTATAAAATGTTAATTCACATATTTAAATTTACCGGTAATGAAAAGTTTGTAAGTTTCAAAGTTTTATTTTGTTATCGTGAAGATTAATAATTTACAGTAAATCATAGTATAGTATTGGAAAGTATAAAAATTAAATCAATATTACCTTAAACCGTTATGTTTTAACATTATTTAATTTTAAAATAATTTTACATTAAGTAAAATATGAATAATATTTTATTATTTGTTAAAAAATATTATTCAATAGAAAAATTGAATAATTTTTAGAGAAAATTAGATGATTTTTTTGGTAAAACAAATTTAATATCAAATGTAATCAATATATTAAGACAGTTATTATGCAAATAATTATATAAAACATGTAATAAATCACAAACTAAATGTACTGTTTACTTCTTATTATTAAACCAAATGCCAACTTAAATGTGATTATTGTATTTTTCAGTGACTTTCATATAAAAAAGTAGGAAATATTATAATCAGTATTTAAGTGAGAAATCTATTGAATTGCTATCAAAAAACAAGAATAAGAAAAAGGAGGAAATTTGTTGTAACATTTTTCTCAATACAATACAGTAAATGATTTCAAACCATTCAAATGCTAAACATGTTTACATATACTGTAATGTGTGTCCCCTTTACGGCTGATCCACCAGTAATTGAGACATAAATTATGCGTTTGAATGACAGCTTAGACTATACAATAAACTGCAGATATGGATCAGTTCACGACGTGTGACAGCACCTGACCCTATGGCCGGGCGGTGTCGGTGTTGTGGCGGTCGTTGGAGAGCTGTTTAGTCGCAACTTTTGCCGCAAATGGGTATCAGTTTTGCGTTTCTCGCACTCGTCGACCAACCGCTCGGACACCGACTCAAACAACTCGTCCACATTATCGGTACTCTTGGCCGACGTCTCCATGAATACGAGATTACGCGCGGCGGCAAAAGTGGCGGCCGTTTCGGTGGCCACCTCTCGCCGGCCGTCTTGACACAGGTCTCGCTTATTGCCGACCAGCGCTATGACCAGCGGCGGCACCGCTTGACCCGTGATCTCCGCGATATACTCCAGTGCTCTCACGTAAGACGTCCTCTTCATTATGTCGTAGACGGCGATCACGGCGTGAGCGCCACTTCGCCGGTCAGTTAGTCGCCGGCGATTTCAGTGACCAATTAGTCGCATATGAATTGTCGGGCAAATCAAATGTGTTAGATGTTATGCGAGATGTGTACAGTATATATGGTAACAAATAATGTGTTTACCGGTAGTAAATCTGGACAATGTTGGCGTACTTCTCTTCGCCGGCCGTATCCCAGACCTCTAATATGACGGAAGCGTTGTTTACGTGAAACTTTCGCTGCCGAAAGTCCACACCAACGGTGGTCTTCGGGTCGCGCGTGAAGTAGCGGTCAAAGTGTTGCAACAAAATACTTGTCTTTCCCACACCATATGTGCCCACTATTACCACTTTGAATCGCAATTCCTTGCGCTTCAGTCGTCTCTTCGCCTCCATGTCTTCTATTCCCCTCACAATACCGTTGTTTGTCTCCATTCATATGTCATGTAATGTGATTTTTTGGCACTTAATTATATTACTTGTGATTTCATATATACCCACGTACTTATAATTATGGCAATTATTATTATGATCTGAGTTTTGCTGTTTGATTGTATGAAATGAGCGAAAAGTTTATTAATCTTTTAGTAATTTGTTAGGAAACCAACAGTCAGTCCCGGAAAACGCATAATTCCGCACAAAATAGTCATT